AGATGACAGCCCTTGTTTCACAATATCACACTATCTCTGCACACAAACAGCTCCTGGCAGGAGCACCCTGGGAGCCATTACCCAGCGGAGTTATTAAATGCATCTTTTATCACATTAACTGTTTCCCTCTGACATCCAACAGTGCTTGGCCAGCTGCCAGCACCTCCTTTCCACTTTTAACAACTCTACAGCAACGCCCCAGACTCCAGGCTAGTTTCTCCAGGCCCAGCTCTGCCCTTGGCTTGCCCTGGGACCAGCAAGCTGTTTGCATTGTTATACAACTCACTTCTACTGTAAAACAAAACACCTTGCAGACATCTCTCCAGCCACGGGATGCTCAACTGCTCTCCAAAAGCCAGGGCACAGCAGGGCCGTCATCAAGAAGCTTCTGTGACGGGAATTATTTCCTTTCCCAGTGGGTTCAGGACTAGCCCACCTGGGTGTGATGTATGTGCCTCAGAGGAGGGGGTGCATCTGCAGAGCTGCCCCACATGAATCTGCCATGTCCCCTCTGCTGCCCAGGGGCTCAGCTGCAGTCCCACAGGCAAGGCAGGGAGCAGGGGAAGTGGTGGCTGCTTCTTGCCCCATCACTGCCAGCTCACAGTCTTTGGCATTGCGACAGAGCTGGCCACAGCTTTGTTGCTGTTCTGAGAACTTGTAAGACAGGAAGGCCTAAAGGGCTGGGCATGAAGACATCACCATGCTACACTTCTGTCTGGTGCATGGAGAGCCCCTTCAGCCTTCTGGGGTAACCCATAACCCTCCAGGAGTTCCTACCATCACACAACCTTGCAGAATTCATTGCACTTCTATTTCCAGGTATTCCTGCACTGCTTGTGCCATCACCAGCTCTGAGAGCTGATGGAGAAGAGGAAAAGCATCACTGGCACCTCCACAGAAGCCCATCAGCATGGCACACCGATATTCCTTGAGAACAAGGGGCCACCTCAGCAGGCTCAGTCCCTCTGTCACCCGCCTGGAGGCAGATTGTTCACACCAGGCATGCTCAGGCCTCTGACATGAAGTCACTGCAATTAGACAGGTGAGGTTTTATTTTGCTCCCGTGGGTGTGTAGCTGCCTTTCCCAGGACATGAAGAAAGGCAGGTGACACCGGCAGCCAGGGCAGCTGGCTCTGAGCCAGGAAGGCTGCTCACCCAGGGCCTGCTGCACCTGAGAAAGAGCTCGCTCCAACTTGTCTGACAGCCCCTTTTAGCCTCGCAGGTTGGGGCTTGGCTTGCAGGGCTGCCTGTGTCCCGGGGAGTGCCTCCCTGCTCTTGCCACTGCCCTGTGATTCAGGGCTTAGGACTGTAGCAAGATCTGGAATTAGCTTTATTGTTTCTGTACCGGGGCACACGCTCTGGGCGATGCAGCAGCCGTTGCACAATTGACTTCATTATATCTGAACCGGCAATTATGCTGCTGTTGCTCAGCTGCAGCAGAGAAAACTTCTGTCAGATCTCTACTGTGCCCTACATCCCAGCAGGTCTCTGGGAGTAAACGCCATGTGTGGGTTGCTGAAGATGTTCAGTGAGGCCTTTATTGAGTCTCTTCTTGGTCTTCTGATTCTCCCCATTCTTTCCTTGCAGCCTGTGGCATCTAGCCTTCCAGTCACTCTTCTTTCTCATCTCTGGATCAGCTCTACCTGCTCCAGATGAAGGATGAGGCACTCAGAGAGCCCTTTCTGACATAGACAAGGCGTGCATAGCTTAAGGAATGGCAGAGGGGGATTTTCTGCCCATCTCCATGCTGTGCTAGAATTTTTCAGGGTGGTAAAGTGTGTCCCAAATGCTGCCATAATAGAACTGCAGCAGCACTTGGACATATGATGCTGGGCCATCAGCAGGAGCCAGCTGTGCTTTAGGGACCCTGCACAGTGCTCAGTGGGATACTGCTGAAGCAGTTATCATCACAAGGGCCTTGCTAGGACTCACATCTGCAACATGCAGTCGAGCTCCATGCTTTCAACAGACTTATTAGTTGCACCAGCCAACCTTGTCCAGCCTGTGCCACTGCTGGAGAACAAACTGCACAGGGCACTGATGGGCTGGAGGGACGTCCTGGCTTCTCCAGCTCCCCACCTGCTAAGAGGATTAAGAGCAAGGACAGAGTGAGGGGGAAGCAGGACAAGCACGGATGCAACATCTTGGGGAAGCTCCTGGCTGAGATTAGAGACACAGACAGGAGCCCTGCTCCTGAAGCACCTCTCACCATCTCGTCTTTGCTTTAAAGTGGAGAGCACAGTGGGCTTCCTTGCCAAACCCACAGCACAGCTGTGCTCTCTTCTACCTTCCCAAGAAGGCCATGTCCCCAAACTGCCCCATGACACTGTTTGCTCTGCCCGGAGCAGGCAGGGTGGAACTGAGCTCGGAAAACTGGGAACAATAGTTTGGGTTTTCCTCAGCAAAGAGAGCAGGGAACTGGGGTGTGGATGGGAGGCACCCGGCTGGGCCCTGAACTCATCTCCTCCCCAGTTTCAGCTCTGGGTGCTTTAGGTGTGGCAGTCTTTTAACATACTTCTGAAAGACAGCTACAGAGAGAGAGAGGCTTTGTTTGGGTAACTGCAAGCTTTGCTCAGAGGTGTTCCTGTACCAGCAGGTACCTGCCTAGAGCTGGCTGGTTTCTGACAGTGGCAAGTAGGGGCTTCCCCTGCAGTGGGCAGGGCTCTGCCCCTCAGGTATCTTCAAAGGTTTTCCCATCCTTCAGTAAAGAGATGGTTGAATTCTGACACTATGCTACAATTTTTCTTGCTTGCTCTTTGCATCTCTCTGGCTGCTGATGCAGGGTCTATGTTCTGAGCATCAATGAAAATGTTTCCTGAGCAATTCTTGTAATTGTGTGACTTCTGATGCTGTCTGAAAACATTTGCAGGGCCTTCTTAGATGTGTGGGTAACATCTCTGTGAGAGAGGGGTCACCTCAGGACAAATCCAGCCAAAGTGAGCTCAGCTCAGCCTCCAGTGTGTGCTTTCAGGCTGCTGCTACCAGCATCTGGCAGGCTGCTGAGCAGTTAGGCACTGACAAGATGCAGCCGATTGGTGCTCCCTGGATTTAGCCAGATGTTCTTAAGCATTTCAAAAAAGCTTAGACATCTGTTTGGGCATTTCAGATCAGAGGCACATGGGGATGCACAGCTCCCAATGACTCATGGCTCTCTTGTCAGTAATTCCCACTCTGATTGTCCAACAAAACAGCATCTGAGTGGGTATTTTCACTGTGAGCACGCATTTGTAGCACTGACAAATCAGGGACATTTCACTCTCCACCACCATGGTACGTAAACTGATCCATGATTTTGCACCCCTAGGTACCACCAGATCGTTGTACGAATCTTCAGAATTTGGGTGAACTGTACAGCCTGAAATGCTGCTGGCTGCATAGCTCTGCTTCCAACCACGCTGCAAGGTACTCATGCTATAAATGCCCAGAATTAATTGGCACTGTGGAATTAAGGAGGGTTCTAGGACACACCCAGTGAGAAGTGACTCCCTGGCATCCACTACACGTTACAATGAACACCTTGGTGAAGATTTTCACAGGGAAGATGATACCATCACTCCTTTTCACTCCAATTAACTTCTGGGGCTCGAATTTTGATGCCTCAGTGCTACCAATTACTCTCTCACTCTCATGGACTGTCTGCATCAGCATGGTCTGTGTTATCTAGTGATCTCTGAGGTCACTCAAAGGACATTTATACCACAGGGAGGCATTTCCAGAGTTATCCAGTCACCACAGAATCCTGTGCAGGTTCAGCAGCACTTCCTACCTGGGGCATCTCTGTGGAAAAAAAAACCAAAATCAACTCAATATTTTCCCATCAACTTGATTAAACCCACTCTGATCCTCTGGCTCAGCCATTTCTGCAGGTCTCAAAAAATGTGTTGCTTAGACACCAGCACAGGCTTTGCAGCAGTATTCTTGCTTTCAGTCACTTCACTCATGCTCATCAGTGAAGGTGACACTTTCCAGGTGACTCAGGCACAAAGAAAGGCTATTGTGGGTGGATAATTTAGGTCCAGCTTTCAACTTTCAGATCAAGCTGAGAGATGACAGCACTTTTCAGTGAAAACTCATTAAGTCAGAGCGCTGAAGCAGAGGCAGGGCTGGTTCTGCACCACAGTGGATGCTTTGAGTATTTTGGAGGGGATAGGACACATTATTCATTGTAGTAAGGCCAGATGTCAGTGAAGTCACTGTAGACTCCAATAAAACCCCTCCAAGGTGCTCCAAGCTCTCCCTACACCCTCACTATTCATTTCATACAGCTTTGTGAAATCAGATCAAACCAGTGAAGGTAATGCAGAGCCAGGATGGAGAAGCAGCCTTTGGCAGGCAGGGCTTTCAACACAGCCCTGGGGCACTACTGTTCTTGAGGGCCTTGACACAAAGGACAGGACTGAGTCTTCCTGCTTTTTTCTGTGATTTCCAAAGAGGTTAGGAAAATTTGGGCTCCTCTCTGGAGGGTGTTCTCCACCAGTGTTTCCTCCAGAAATTCTCCCGGGTGTTTTTCAAGAAGCCTTGGGTGGCTGGCAGAGACCTGGCTCACTGCTTGCTCAAGGATCACATCAGCACCTAAGCCCACCAGGAGGGAGCACCTGGGCCAAGCTCTTTCCTGGCTTTCCTGCTTCAGCCCCTGAAGTCTCTCCTGGTTAGTGCCTGGGCGGTGCCTTTCACCAGCAGGACACCAAGCTGGAAGGTGCCATCTCTGTTCTTCAGCAGAACGCCTCTGCCAAGACTGGCGAGCACAGCAGGAACAACGCTTATGCCCCACTGCCCTTTCCTCGAGGGGACCCCCGGGTCTCCCGTGCCCCACTCAGGGATGCTGCTCCCCGAATGCCCCACCATGCGCCCCGCCAGGCAGCACAGCCCCATCTATGCAAATCTATGCAAATATGCGCAATGCACTCAAATCTATGAAGCGCTCGGGGCTGTCCCGGGCGGGGCGGCCCGCCCCGGAGCGCCGGTGCCGCCCCCGCTATAAGGCGGCGGCGGCGGGGCCGTCCCGGCGTGCGGAGCTGCGGCAGTCCGGGGACAGGCAGGTCGTGCGGCAGCGGCGGCATCATGGTGAGTGCCAGCCCCGGCTGCTCTCTCCCTCCGGTGCCGCGAGGGCACCCCGGAGCGGGCTGGGCTCCCCGCGGCTTCCCGGGAGCCCAGAAATGCGGGCAGCCGGCGACGGGAGCGCCGGCTGTGCTCGCCCTGCCTTTGCCTGGCTTCAGCCTCTTCCTGAGCTGCTCCCTCCCCGGCTCTCAGCAGCCTCCCTTCTTTAAGCATCCCCTTGTACCCGCGGCAAGGAGGCCGCCAGCGAGCCCCGCGGCTGCCGAGACCCGGTGCTGGGGCGGACACGCCACGTCTCATCCCTATCCCACTTTTAATAGTGTGGGTCCCTGCCCGTGTCCCGCTGTGCCACCCCCGGCTGCGGAGTTACTCCCGTCTGCCAGCCCCCCACGCTGCCGGCCCGCAGCTGAGCTCCGGCACTAAGCTGTGGCTTCCTTCACCCACTGCCCTGCTCCAAGCGTGGGCATCACTGTGGGTGGGCTGCCAGGCTGCCCTGCCGCCGTGGTCCTGTGGCGATCTCTGGCTCGTGAGCTCTCCAGCTGCCCTGGAGAGCATCCCAGCCTCAAGGTTTCCCGGGCACCCTGCCTGCTGTCCCGCGGAGCCATGCTCCCAGCCTTTCCTGTGCCAGACTTTGCCGTGAAGAAGGCAGAGTCTGCTGGCTGGTGACCAACACTGCTGCGTCCTGGTGCTGCTGGGCTCTGCCCAGCCTATTGTCAGTGCTGGGTCCCACAGAGCCAGTCCTGGCTGCTGCTTGTTGTTGGGATGGAGTGCAGTGAGCAGCATAACCCTCTGCCACCACCGAGCTGATTCACGAGGTCCTTTGGCAGGGAGGAGTCCTCTCTCATCTCCTCTTCCTTGAGGTGCTTGCATCTGTGCCAAGTGTTTCCTATGCCCTTCTGTAGAGGATCTTGGAAGACTTACCTCAGGTCTTAAGTCCTCAGGTCTTACCCTTGGCTTCTTGTGTTACACAACATTTATGGACCTGCTGGGAGGGATAGGTGGGGTATTGCTTCGCTCTTCTTGCACCTCAGCTTTGGGAAAGGTGAGGACATGGGCTTCTGCCTCTCACCATGGGTATCAAGGGCTTATTTTTTTGCCATTCCTCACTGTCAGGGCTGCCTCTGAAAAGCAGCACTGGAAGCACTTTAGATGCAGAGAGCCAGGACATGCTGCATCCTGTGCAACTTTGTGGGACAGCAGTCATTGCCCTGCTCCTGAGTTGGAGCAGCAAAATGGCTGCTTCCACCAGCTTCCTGCCAGCTGACTCATAGTGGGGCACCATGGCTCTGGAAACTCTGATTTGGATGCTCCTCTGACTCAGTTGTGCCTGATGACACATCCAAATCCTTGGCAACAGCAGGTCTAAGGCACTGAATACTTTCATTCTTACGAAAAAACTACAGGCTCTGGGGTGCCACATCTGAAGGGAGTGAGGTTGTAGAGCCCAGCTTCATCTGGCTTCTCCTGGGGGACCTGAGACTACCCTTGAAGTTGTGAGCTAGGAGACCCTCCCACCTCAGCCTTTCTGTTGACGTAGAAAATGCAGTGAATGCTTCCTCCTCCTCTAGAGCTAATTTAGGAAAGCTGAGCCTCAAAGCATGGCATCCATTCATGTTTGTAAATCCCCACTCTTGCTGGGCACCCACCCTCAGTGCCCTCAGCTCCCAGTGTCCTGGTGGTGCTCTGCCATCTCAGCCTTCAGCTCTGCTGTTGGAATTGCAGCAGGGGCTGTGCCAGATGCTGCTGGCCTCAGCCCCCAAGACAAATGTTTGGGCAGTGGAGAAGATGCTCACTGGATGCTATCCAGGGCTGTGGGTGAGGCCAGTTCAGGGATGGGTGGCCTGATATCCTGGACTCCTGCAGATGGGTCTCATCTCCTTGGGCCCCTGACGTGGTCAGTGAAGTGATGAGAGGTAGAGCACTAGATTTGGGAGAAAGCAGAAAAACTGAAATGGACACAGGGCACCCAGGCACGAGGGCAATGAGACTTGCCCAAGCTGGCGAGGGCCAGAGCTGCCCTTCCAGGGCTGTGCACTTCCTGCAGTGAATGCATTTCTGGTCTCTGCTGGGATCTGACCCTGCCTCCCCCTCCCCAGCGCGAGTGCATCTCCGTCCACGTCGGCCAGGCCGGCGTCCAGATGGGCAACACCTGCTGGGAGCTGTACTGCCTGGAGCACGGCATCCAGCCCGACGGGCAGATGCCCAGCGACAAAACCATTGGCGGAGGGGACGACTCCTTCACCACCTTCTTCTGTGAGACTGGCGCTGGCAAGCACGTCCCACGGGCCATCTTCGTGGACCTGGAGCCCACTGTGATTGGTGAGTGCACCCTAATGGGGCTCTGATAGTGGTCATTATTTTGGGCAACAACCCCCACTGCAGGACACTCCCAAGAGTGCTCGTGCTACCTTTCCCCAGATCCAGTTAGCAAATCTATTTTGCCACTCTCTCCTAGATGAGATTCGGGGAGGAGTCTACCGGCAGCTCTTCCACCCCGAACAGATGATCACTGGCAAAGAGGATGCTGCCAACAACTACGCCCGTGGGCACTACACCATCGGCAAAGAGGTCATTGATCAAGTGCTGGACAGGATCCGTAAGCTGGTAAGTGACTGCAGAGAGGGGATGTGTCTCCCTGGACTGGGGTCCAGCATCATTCAGGGGGCTGTGTCCAGCATGTTGTGAGCTCTGCTGTGCCTTGCGAGGAATCTGCACCTACATAAACAAAACTCTGAAAATTCCCTCCAGCCAAGTCAGTGCTTGAGGGAACCTTACTTGTCTCTCTCCACAGGCTGACCAGTGCACAGGTCTCCAGGGATTCCTGGTATTTCGTATTGGTTTCTTGCCAGGTCAGGTGTGTGGTGAGTGCTTCAGCCCTGCTGCTGGTGCTGCTATGCTTCCTCCCAGTGCTCTGCTCCAGCTCCTCCCTTAGGTAAGAGCCCCATAGCAGAGGGATAGGTCCAGGACACATGGCAGGCTCTACAAAGGTGCCGGAGCATGTCCACCAAGGGATCCGCAGGAGTGCTGCTGATGTGATAGGAGAAGTACCAAGTTTCGGCATGTGGTCCTCTGTCTGGGAGTACCTCTGCCCTCAGCCTGCCCTGCTCTGCCAGTGCTCTGCCTTCCCCCTGGGGCATGTGGCCCCACTCTACCTGGCCCAGATCATCTGCATTGTCCCCATTCTGAGTCCTCTCACTGCCCTGCCTCGTGGTAAGGATTCCCAGCATCAGCTCCTGGCTCCAGCTGCAAACTGGAGATTTCTGTTACCCATTATCCAGTGTGCTGTTTCCAGAGATTAATTTTCCCTGCTTACCACTAATGCTTCAGCTATATTGACCCACAGGGGCTGTCCTCCCCTGCCCTCCTCCTCCCAGCATGCACCCGTGTCAGCTGGAGGGGAGAGTGGGGGCCAGCCCTGGCCGCTGGAGCGCAGCCAGGCACTCATCCCTCTGCGCAACACTGCTGGCACTGCGCTGCTTGCCTGTGACTGGAGTGCTAGGCTCAGACTGAGTGGTGCCTGCTGCTGCTATGCCAGGGTAGGAGTCACTGCCCCTCACTTCAGGTGCTGCTCTGATCCACTCCTTATGTTTTGTCTGATTCTGGGGGAAGGAGGGAATCTGCTCCTTCAGAGTTATTTCATTGCTGACATCTCCCTGTATCTTCACAGACATGACTGCCACCAGAAGGAGGTAGGAGTTGGATTGTGTCCTACAGATTTTTCTAGAAGTTATCCTGGACCTCTGTCCTGGACAAGGGACCCAGTAGTGTCTCCTGGCATGCTGCTGAGCAGCAGAGACCCATTCATCCCCCTGGCCAGGGAGGGGTGGCTGCATGACTCAAGGTCCTGGCATCAAAGACAGAGCCCTCTCCCTGCTCAGACAGCATTCAAGTGATGGTCCAGGCATCCTCAGTAGCAGTATCAGCCCTGGCCTTGGCAGGGGTGGCTGCACTGGCCAGGGCTCAAACAGAGCTGCTGCTCTGAATGTAGTCACAAGTTATTAACAGCAAGCAGGCTGCAATGACCCTTTTTTGGCAGCCCAGATTTGTCATGCAGATCTGCAGCCTGACAGGGTTGTGCAGCACTGCCTGCCTGTCCCCACCGGGAGAGAAGGGCAAACCTTGGCTGGAGCCTCCCAGGGCATTGATGGCAAAGGGAGGTTTGGGGGACAAAGCGGGCTCCTGAGTCTAATACGTGTCTCTATCGTGTTTCTCCTCCTTTCTCCAGTTCTAGCGGCCCAGGTAGACTCGGGGTCTCCCCACACCCTTGGGTGAGCTGGTAGCAGGACAGGTTAGGGATTGTTCCTCCTGCGCTGCCTCCGGTGCTGGTGTCTCAGCACTGCCCGTCACCCCTGAGAGCTGATCCCCAGGCCTCCTGCCGACAGCCTGCACCGATGCCCCTGCCTTCCTCCCGGCAGAGAAGGGGGAGCAGCTTCGGGCCCCGCACCTCGGGGCTCCTCCGCAGCCGAGCGGACCCCGCCGGGCTCCCGCGGCCCCCGAAGGGGGTACCCCCTCCCCGCATGCAAGTGTTCCCAAATAAGGGGGCGTGGCGGCACCAAGCCCCTCCCACCTATAAGAGAGCGCTGCGGCGGGGATTGCAGCAGCCGCAGCTCCGCGCCGAGCCCCGCCGCACCGAGCCGCCGGGACAGCCCGCACCGCCCGCCGCAACATGGTGAGTGCGGGCCGGGAGGCGGGCACGGCGGCGGGGAGGGCTCCCGGCAGCCCCCCGGCAGTGCCCCCGCGGCACCGTGCCCGCTGGAGCCGTCGCGACGCGCCCCCTCCTTCCCCGCCGTGACCTTGGGCAGCGCTGCCGGCCCCTGCCCGGGGCAGCCGTGTCCCCCCGCTCTGTGCCCCCCCGCCCTGTGTCAGCCCGCCCTGTGTCCCCCCGCCCGCCGCCACCGGCCCTGGGGCGCCTGTCCCCCTCCCGCCACCGCCGGCGCAGCGCGGGGGGGCGCTGGGGACAGCGGGGGTGACCTCGCCGCTGGGGAGCGGTGGCCGCGATGGACGGGGACAGCTGCCGAGGGTGGAGGCGCCCGCCGGGCACGGGGGCCGGAGCGGGGCGTTCGGCGGGGCTCTGCCCGCGGCAGCGCTCGCCCCGGCGGGGTTGGCGGCGGGGAACGGGTGTGGGGGTCCCGTCCCTTCAGTGTCAGCCCGCGGGCGTCTGGCAGCGGCGGAGCGGGCTGGGGACGGTCTCCGAGGCGGGCAGTGGCCGCTGCCCTCGCCCGGGGCTGGAGCTGTCTATATTTAGCGGCTCAGGAGTGGGCCGGGGCCGTGCCAGAAGGCGCAGCGCAGCGCTCTGCCCGCCGCAGCGCTGACCGGGCCCTGCCGGGGAACCTGCCCCCCTGCCCTCCCTTCCTCTCTGTGTCCGGGGCTGCTCTTGGCCCTCCCGCGGGAAGAAGGAGCCCTTGTCCTACCCGGGTGCTGGACGGGGGCACGGACCCCATCGCGGCTAAAAGCACTGTGCAGTCGGGAAATGCAGGAGTGAATTGCTCCAGGACCTCGAGGCTGAGTCGGGATGTCCTGCTCAGGGAGGCAGAGATACCAGGAGCAGTGAAACAGGGATGCTAGGACAGAGGTGGTGTGCCAGGGACAGCAGAGAAGGGATGCTGGAGTAGCGGAACAGGCCTGCACCTCCGGAATGGAGTGCATGAGGCACATCTCCAGCTCACAGCCTGCTCCTCATCACTTCTGCCAACACGGGTTTTGCAGCACAGGGTTGGGACTGGGTAGCCCAGGGAATCTGTGTTGCCTCAGAAACTGCTGGTCTTCATTGCCAGCCCTTAACTGGCTGCCACATACCACCCTTGCGACCCCAAGGCCACTGACGCTGCAGTACTGCTTATCTGGCTCTGGCCCATCAGGCAGAGGGGTTTGCCCATGCTGATTGCCCCTCATGGGTTAAATGTGTGTACCTGTCAGCTCAGCTCCTCACTGGACTGCTGTTGCATGGGGGAGGGGCTGAGGCTGCCAGGGACCCTGGCAGAGTAGCTGGGCCAGGCTCTGCTCCCCTTACTGCTGGAGGACAGGCCCAGCCAGAGTCCATTGAGGGCAGGGGCTGAGGGCATGGTGCCTGTGCATGGCTGAGGGCAACGCCAGCTATGGGGAGCCCCTCAGGGTGATGCAGGAGGTCACCCAAAGGAAAATGTCCTCTCTGGGACCACTGACCAGAGCAGGTCCAGTGTGGGTGACTGTGTGGCACTGGCACCAGCCAGAGCCCTCCCTGGAGCAGGCAGGACAGAGCTGTGCCAGGATCTGACCCTGCCTCCCCCTCCCCAGCGCGAGTGCATCTCCGTCCACGTCGGCCAGGCCGGCGTCCAGATGGGCAACACCTGCTGGGAGCTGTACTGCCTGGAGCACGGCATCCAGCCCGACGGGCAGATGCCCAGCGACAAAACCATTGGCGGAGGGGACGACTCCTTCACCACCTTCTTCTGTGAGACTGGCGCTGGCAAGCACGTCCCACGGGCCATCTTCGTGGACCTGGAGCCCACTGTGATTGGTGAGTGCACCCTAATGGGGCTCTGATAGTGGTCATTATTTTGGGCAGCAACCCCCACTGCAGGACGCTCCCTGGAGTTCGCACAGCCTGAGGTGCCCCCAGGGGTAGGTAGCGGGCAGCTGGTGCTCGTGGTCTTCTGACAATATCCTGCACTGTGTTCGACCCAGAGGGCCCTTTTTTTTTCCCCAGGAGAAACCACAAACGTGAGCACCTGCTTTTGTTCTTGAAGTGTCTTAGAGTCAGCGGTGCTTGTACCACATGTGCACAGAGAGAAACCAGCCCAACCGGCACGGCAGCTCCTGCTGGGCTGTGGGCAGGCAGCTCCTGAAGGGTGGGAGAAGCTGAGCTGCGCAGGGAGGTGGCAGCCACCTCCTCATGCCAGAGAAACCCGATGCTGGTGTTGGCTTTGCTGACGTGTGGGTCCTTGGCCATGCCACGGGCAGGCGGAGCCAGGGTGAGGGATGGCTGCTAGCACCCACCTGTCTGCTTGGCGGCCGGCTCAAACCAGCAGCCTCCCCTGGGCTCAACCTGCCCCTGTTCTCTCCTAGATGAGGTTCGGGGAGGAGTCTACCGGCAGCTCTTCCACCCTGAGCAGCTGATTACTGGCAAGGAGGATGCTGCCAACAACTACGCCCGTGGGCACTACACCATCGGCAAAGAGGTCATTGATCAAGTGCTGGACAGGATCCGTAAGCTGGTAAGTGACTGCAGAGAGGGGATGTGTTTCCCTGGACTGGGGTCCAGCGTCCTGCTGCGGCTCACAGCACACTGCAAGCCATGCTGCACCCTGGGTGGGATATGCAGCTGACCAGGGCAGGGATACACCAGGTCCTGAAGGGACTTCTGCACAGCCAGACTGCCACAAAGAAATGTATCTCAGAGTAATCTCTCCTCATCCCTCTCCACAGGCTGACCAGTGCACAGGCCTCCAGGGATTCCTGGTGTTTCACAGTTTTGGAGGTGGCACTGGCTCTGGATTCACCTCCCTGTTGATGGAGCGACTCTCTGTTGATTACGGCAAGAAGTCCAAGCTGGAATTCTCCATCTACCCGGCACCACAAGTCTCCACTGCTGTGGTAGAGCCCTACAACTCCATTCTCACCACCCACAGTACACTGGAGCACTCGGACTGTGCTTTCATGGTGGACAACGAGGCCATCTACGACATCTGTCGCCGGAACCTGGACATCGAGCGCCCAACCTACACCAACTTGAACAGACTCATCAGTCAGATTGTCTCATCCATTACAGCATCACTACGGTTTGATGGAGCCCTGAATGTGGATCTGACCGAGTTCCAGACCAACCTGGTGCCCTACCCTCGCATTCACTTCCCCCTGGCCACCTATGCCCCTGTCATCTCCGCAGAGAAGGCTTATCATGAGCAGCTGTCGGTAGCCGAAATCACCAACTCCTGCTTCGAGCCGGCTAACCAGATGGTGAAGTGTGACCCTCGCCAGGGCAAGTACATGGCCTGCTGCCTGCTGTACCGCGGGGACGTGGTGCCCAAGGACGTCAACGCCGCCATCGCCACCATCAAGACCAAACGCAGCATCCAGTTTGTGGACTGGTGCCCCACGGGCTTCAAGGTGGGCATCAACTACCAGCCGCCCACGGTGGTGCCGGGGGGGGACCTGGCCAAGGTGCAGCGCGCCGTCTGCATGCTGAGCAACACCACGGCCATCGCCGAGGCCTGGGCTCGCCTGGACCACAAGTTTGGCCTGATGTACGCCAAGCGCGCCTTCGTGCACTGGTACGTGGGCGAGGGCATGGAGGAAGGGGAGTTCTCCGAGGCGCGGGAAGACATGGCCGCTCTGGAGAAGGATTACGAGGAAGTGGGCCTGGACTCCTACGAGGATGAAGAAGAGGGTGAGGAGTAGAGAAGCCTCAGCCAAAAAAGGACCACGCTCCTTCCCTGTGTTACCTGCAGAAACCCTTTGCAATAAACCGTTTCAGAGCCTCTGTGTGTCCCAGTATGCCCCCAGCTGTATTGGTTTCTTGCCAGGTCAGGTGTGTGGTGAGTGCTTCAGCCCTGCTGCTGGTGCTGCTATGCTTCCTCCCAGTGCTCTGCTCCAGCTCCAGCTTGCTATCTGTGCAGGTAAGAGCCCTGGGGTCTAGTCCCTGGTGCCGTGGCACACATCCCACCCCACTCGTTGCTCCAGCCAGGGGTGGGTACCGCTTCCTCATGTGATGTATGGCCCCACGTTGTATCCTGGAGCTCAGGGGAGCAGATTTAGTGTGAGCAAGAAAAGAATGGCAACTTTTGGGTCTTCTCATTTGCAGCCCAGGGGTAGGTGGGATTGCCAAAAAAGATAGTTATTGAAGCAGTGGGAGCAATCTGGCAGCCCTGCCCCTGTGGTCACCATACAGGGTAGGGAGTATGCCTGGCTCTGTGGTGCAGAGGGTGCACCCTGCAGTGGCACCCAGCATGGCACAAACCCCCGCGGCTGCTGTACTGCTGTGTGCAGTGAGAGGATTAAAGGAGGGGAATGCTCCCTGTTAAACTGCTTGTCTGCATCTCGTTTTTTACCTCCTCTCTGTGGGTAGCCCACCTGCTGGAGCCCCAGTGGGCTCCAAGGGTCCCCCCTGGGCTGGGGGTGTCCTCTGCTGGGGTGGTTGTGCTGTCCCCATGCTCTGCATACCCCCACCAGAGCAGAGCTGCTGCTCCTGCCTCCCAAGGTGTGGCAGCTTCCCAGTGTGGGCATCTACCTCCCTCTTCATGGGCAGCAGAAAAATTCTGCCTGTACCGCTGCCACTGCCTGCCTGCCTGTGCTGATCCCTGTCCCGCAGTGCCCAGCTCTGGAGGCTCTGAACAGCAGTGTCTGGCTCCAGCTGCAGTTGTGTTAGCTCCCAATAGGAGCATTCTGGGGCCAGGGATTAACTTTCCCTGCTTACTGCTAATGCTCTGGCTATGCTGCCCCGGCTGGCCTCCGCTGCCCTTCGCCTCCAGCAAAGCTTGGCTGCCGAACCCAGACAGCGTGCCCTGCTCTTCCCATGCCCCGGCAGAACCCCTCCCTGCAGACAGGGACACAGCCACAGCTCTGCAAGAACATACTTTACTTCAAACACAAGGCAACATCAGTGCCAAGAGCAATGGCAGAGTGGGCACTCCCTCTGCCTCCCTCCAGCACAGCACCGGGATCTGGCCCGCAGCTCTGCTCCGGGCAGCAGCAACCTTCCTGGGGCACAGAGCTGCAGGGCTCCCATCCCCAGGAGGGGTCCCACAACATCCTCTTCTGCCACCCCCAGGGAAGGCAGCAGCTGGCAAGGGACCCATGTTTAGCAGCAGATCACATCCACAGCTCAGGAGCACAGACCAAGGCCCAGGCAGCAGCATCCAGGGCACAGAACACTCCAAATCCAACACACCTCCAGGACAGAGCAGCAGCTCTCCCCCAGGGCATCAATCCCCTCTGCAACAGGTCTGCAGGGCAGCAGGGATTAGGGCAGCTGCTTTTCCCCTGGCGTCACCACTGGAAGGGGATGGGCTCAGATCTGCGTGGTGTCCTGTCCCGCCGGTGCTGGCTGCAGCCCCTCCAGTTGGTGGAGGATTTCATTTATGCTGGGTCTCTCCTGGGGGTTCACTGTCATCATGGAGAAGAGCAGGCGCTGCAAGGCAGCCGAGTATCTGGAAGAAAGACAGCAAGGGGAGGACCCATGTGGTGCACAGGACAGGGGGCCACCCAGGAATGGGGTCACCCTCCCCAGCCCCTCACCTGGTTGTTGAGGGCAACGTGAGGGGGTTCTGAACCGCCAGAGCCACACTGTCACCCTTCTGGAAGATGGCATCATAGGGGCCCTCTCCAAACATCATGCAGTACAGCACACAGCCTAAGGACTGGAGCGAGGTGGGGTCAGTGCAGCCCTGCAGCAGCGGGATGGGGGAGGCCAGAGGGCTGGATCCTTACCCAGATATCCGTACGCTCATCTATCACGCACTGGCTCGGCACTGTGAAGAGCTCGGGGGCACGGTAGGAGATGGTGCAACGCTGGGCAGCCCAGTCCTGGAAAGAGGAGGATGGGGATGAAAGGACTGGAGCAGGGACAGGCTCATGGGGTGACATCCCAGGCCACCCACCTGCACAGCCATGGCCTCCCGAGAGCTGTTGACTTCGATGCGAGCTTGGTTCATGGAGCCCAGGTCCATCAGCACAGGCTGGTCATCCTCATCCAGCAGCACATTGGTAGGCTTGAGGTCCCTGTGGGGATGGACATCACTGAGTGCCCACTGGGGCCCCTGCCAATCTCCCCAGCCAGTGCTGCCAGCCCTCACCTGTGTGCATAGCCCTTGCTGTGGATGGCTTGCAGCCCACGGCAGATCCCATGGAGGATGAGGAGGATCCGCTGCTCTGGCATGAAGGTGCCTTTCTCCCGCAGTGCTTCCACCTCTCTCCAGAGGGTTCCCCCCTGGCAAACACAAGCAGCTGGTCACCACTGCCACTCCTGGGGTAGTGGAGCAGCCAGGAAAGCCCCCCTCACCTTCACATAGGGCAGCAGAAGCCAGGCTTCGTGCTTGGTGCCCTTCTCCACCATGCAGTGGGCCACCAGGCGCAGGATGTTGGGGTGGTCGAAGAGGCCGTGCATCTCCACCTCGTGCAGGGCGGCCTGGCGGTCCTCCTTGTCGTGGCACAGGATGCGCTTCAGGGCGTAGAAGCGCCCATCCCGCAGCCCCTCCACCAGGTCCACATAGCTGAAGCCCCTGCAAGGAGTCAAGAATAGCGTGGGTTGAAGACTGTGATATCCATGCTGGGGCCCTGTGCCCAGTCTCATCTACAAGCACCCAGGGGAGGGGGAACAGAGGGTGGCATGAAGTCCCCAGGTATGCACATGTTCCCATCTTGCAGGCATCTGTGAGGAACCCAAAGCATCACCTCTGTGTATGAAAAACCCCACTGGCTCAATCATCCCCACTGCCATGGCTCCAAGCACCCACTTCTGAGAATGACCAACCCTTCCCTGTCACTCAGCAGGAGAATCATCTATCATGCACGAGCACCCCCAATGCTGAAGCATCATCCCTCACCAAGTCTAAGTACTTCCCCAAGGTGACCTGAACTCAAGCATCTCCCCACCCTGCCCGAGCATCCCGTGCCTGAGTGTCACCCCATCCCCAAGCATGTCCGCATGCACAACCACCCCCCACGCCTGAGCATCACCCCAATGCCAAATCATCTCCCGTGCACAAGCACCTCCATGCCCGAGCATGCCGCCACACCCAAGCCCTCCTCCTGTACAAGCACCCCCAGCCCGCGCACCTCCATGCCCGAGCATCCCCCACACACAGGCACGCCCAAGCATCCCCCCCACGCCCGAGCACTCCCTCGGCCCTCGGACCCCCCTTGCCCGAGCATCCCTCCCGGAGCTCGGGGCCGCCCGCCCGAGCCCCCCGCGCCCCAGCCCGCGGCGCACCCCTCTGCCAGGCGGTGGAGCAGGAGGTACCGCGCTCCCCCCAGGCTGACGGTGCCGCGGGAGCAGACGCACAGCGCCTGCCCCATCGCCCGTGCGCGTCATCGCCCGGTGCCGCGCGTCACCGCCGCGTCTCCGCCGCGTCACCCCGGGGCGGGGCGGCACCGCCTCCCGCTGCCCGCTGCCGGGATCTGCCGTCCCTGCGCCCGGCGGCTCGGCCTGTCCTGCAGCACCTCCCGGCACCCCTGTCACTAGCTCTGTCAGCAGCTTCAGCCCTCGGCCCGGGGACGTTTTCCTTGCCCTCATCCAGCCGCAGCAGCAGCAACCCTCCGATCAGAGCTTTCCATCACCACCTCTGATGGAGCAAGCGGGCTGAATTCTATGGAGGGCTTCTGCCTGGTGGTGACACTTTCACGAGGCCCCTTGTCCCCTCACTTTGATTGTCACTCCCCACCGCACTGGGCACCAGAGGTGTGCCCGCCGGCCGGAGCTGGCTGTGCCGCCCGCATCCCCTGCTGGGTGGGCTTTGCGGGGCTGATGCGCGGCCGGCCCGACGTGGAGGGTCGGAGCCGCCACCCCTTTCCCGTGGTCCCGCCCCAGCTGTTCCAGCTGCCTGAGCTTGGGACAGGGAGAAGGAAGCGCTGGCCAAGAGCCTTCCCGCATCACGTGGTGGCGGGGGCCACGTCCAGCCTCGTCCCGCGTCCCGGGCCTGCCGGGCACCCGGCGAGCATGGGACTGCCGGCGCTCGCCCTGCTGCTGGCAGCGGGGCTCCTGCGCACGCAGGTTAGCAAACGAGGGTGCAAAGTCTGGGCGAAGCGCGCAGGACTGAGCTGGGAAGGAGCCTCCCGAATCTGCCTTCCCGATCCGTCTCCCTGCTCGGCATGCTATAGCTCCCCTCTGCAGCAGCCCATGTCCTGCCACAATGTCCCAGCTTGCATTCCCAGCTCCTTCCCTGCCCTCGCAGCACCCACCCCAGCAGCACCGTCCCCACAGAGGCCGCCAGCTCAGCCGCCGGGTGTTTGATTAGCGGGGAGGCTCAGCTCCCCGCTCCTGCTCTCCCAGGACAGTTCGGCCCCGTCAGTGCCTGTCCCGGGAAGCACGGGAGGGGGCGGCTGGGCTCGGGGAGGTTCTGCAAGCCTCCAGCTCTTCCCTTTTCCTGCAGGCCTCCCCTTCGGCGCGCTCCTTCCAGCTGGATTACGAACACAACTGCTTCCGCAAGGACGGTGCCCCTTTCCGCTACATCTCGGGCAGCATCCACTACGCCCGCGTCCCGCGCCCTGCCTGGAGGGACCGGCTGCTCAAGATGTACATGAGCGGGCTCAGCACTGTGCAGGTGTAAGCCATGGCGACAGCCCTGGTGGTGCACAGCCCGCAGCCACCACGGGGTTTCTGGGATCAGTAGGAACAGAGACACGGATGTTGTCTGACCACGGGGAGCAAGCACCAACATTTGCACTTGGCTGTGACCCCCCACCCCCAGGTCACCCCTGCTAGACACAAGCATGAGTGTGGGCTAGTTCCAGTCCAGCCCAACTTGCCATACTCAGCTCAGGCTGCAGGCCAACTTCCAGAAGCAGAGGGACCAGCTGGTGGGATGGTTCCCTGTTGTGCTGTCCTGTCGTGGTGTCCTTAGCCCCTGCATGCTGATCTCCCCTCTCACCTCAGCTACGTCCCCTGGAACTACCATGAGACACTGCCAGGAGTTTATGACTTCTCTGGGAACCGGGATGTGGAAGCCTTCCTGGACCTGACAGCTGAGCTGGGACTTCTGGTGATCCTGCGGCCAGGGCCCTACATCTGTGCAGAGTGGGAGATGGTGAGGCTCCCAGCCTGGCACAGAGGGGTGACGGGTGGTCTGGGAAGGGCACAGCAGGGTTGGCCCTTCTGGCTGCCGCACTGACTCCAGTGCCGTGCCCGCTGTGCCCAGGCTGCTCCCAAAGGCCACAGGCCGTGCTGGTGCCAAGCACTAGCATTGCACGACCCATTTCAGCAGTGTGCAAGCCCAGGTTGCTGAGCAGTTTCTGTGCCTCCCTCTCTGCCGTGTGTGTTTTTCCAGGGTGGCTTGCCTGCCTGGCTGCTGTGGAAACCAGACATCATCCTGCGCACTTCCCACCCTGGTGAGGATCAGCACAGGGCTCTGGCCACCATGTCCTTACAGCCTGGTGCTAGTCCTGGCATCGTCTCCACACACCTGCCAGCTCTGCCTCTGTGGTCTTTCCCATCATCTTCTCCATCCTTTGAGAGCCCCATAGTTTGTACTCCACTTCCCCATCTCGCTTGACCCTGCCCCATCTGCTGTGTCTTCCTCCTGGCAGGCTGGCTGCAGGTGGGCTGGGGTGGATGCTGCAGCCAGCCCCTGCCCTGCCTCTGTCCCTCCAGCCTACCTGGCAGCTGTGGACTCCTGGCTCCATGTCCTGCTGCCCAAGATCAAGCCACGCCTGTACCACCAGGGAGGGAATATCATCAGTGTGCAGGTAAGGTGCTGTGAGGCCCAGCCCTTTGCCCTGCTCTGGGTTGTCTTTGGATGTGCCCCAAAAAGCCACCAGTATCCCCTACACAAATACCTTACCCAGCAAAGCTCGGATAAATCCCTCCTAACTACTGGACCTAGATTTAAATCCAAGGACTGGGAATCTGAGGTACCACAGCTGTGGTTTGAGGGACAGAGCTGACAGAGCTGGAGCTCACAGTGGGACTGGAAGGTTATGCTGAGGACTCCCCTGATGATGTCCAGAGGAAAGGGGGGAGGTTGGTGCTCATCCCAGTGGGCAGCGGGACCTGTCTGCAGCCCTGCCACATGCCTACTGTATGCCAGTCCCTGCCCTGCTCACAGGTGGAAAATGAATATGGGAGCTACTACGCCTGTGACTATGGATACCTACGGCACCTGCTGGGCTCCTTTCGGGCGCTGCTGGGGAGCGAGGTGCTGCTCTTCACCACCGACAGCGCGCGAGCGGAGGAGCTGCGCTGTGGCACGCTGCAGGGGCTCTACGCCACCATTGACTTTGGGCCAGGTATCCCTGTGGGGGAGGAGGAGGAGGACGCAGAGGATGTGGGTGCCTTCTCTGTCCTGCTCAAACCTCCCCCTCTGCACCTGCACAGGATCCAATGTGACGGAGGCATTTGGTGCCCAGCGCCGCGTGGAACCGAAGGGGCCCCTGGTGAGCTTGGCATGGATGCTGTGGGGGAATGACCCACAGCGGCTTTGGGGAGGCAGAGGCGCCAGGCAGTGAGGCAAGGAGGGGCGCTGGGCCCAGGCTGCAGGTGACAGTCTCTTTGTCCTCCAGGTAAACTCTGAGTACTACACAGGTTGGCTGGACTACTGGGGCGAGGCACATGCCAGCACCAGCGCGGCGTGGGTGGCCCGGGGGCTGGAGGACATGCTGCAGCTGGGAGCCAGCATCAACATGCAAGTAGTCAGCTGGCAGAGGGCACAGCCACCAGGGGAGTGGGCATCACCTCTTGCCTTCATCCCACTGGGATCAGGCCAGCAGGGACTGTGGGTGCTGGAGGGAAGGGGCAGTGCCTGGTGAGCCCCTGCTGGGTCTGTGGGGTTGCTGACCAGGCTCTCTGGGGTGTGTCATAGGTACATGTTCCATGGAGGGACGAATTTTGCCTACTGGAGTGGTGAGTAGAGCCTTGCTCTAGGGAGAGGGGGGGCACGCTGCAGGGCTGGGGGGCTTTCCTCGGCCATCCCTGAGAAACCTGCTTCAGGCTCTTGTTCTGTCCCATGGGGCAGGTTGACAGATAGCCAAGGGCCCTTAAACCCAAGCTTGTCTTCTCCTGGGGACTCCTTTCATGCCTGTGCAGGGGCTCACAGTTCTGGGTCATGCCCCCACATGGCACTGCAGCCAGCCTGGGGTTGGGTTCCATGCCCTGGGCTGTGCCAGAGCCCCTTCTTTGGCCAGGTGCTGACTACAAGGGCCAGTACAAACCAGTGACCACCAGCTATGACTACGATGCCCCCCTCTCGGAGGCAGGAGACCCCACTGAGAAGCTGTTTGCCATTCGCACGGTCATCAGCAAGGTAACGAACCTGGCAGAATAAGGGCACAGTACTGGGCACTGCTGCTTGTGTACCAGCAGGGCAAGGGACATCTCCCTGCTTGCCATGGGGCAGATGACAGTCTGCTGTTCAGTTCCAGCCCGTGCCAGCTGGTCCGATGCCACCTGCCACCCCCAAGTACGCCTATGGCCGGGTGGCCCTGCGGAAGGTGAGTTCCTGTCCTGAAGGCTGTACTGCCCCAGCGTGGCACTGCTCAGCTGCCCAGCACCCATCCCTCTCTGCAGTATGCTGACCTCCTGGATGTCTTGGATGTACTGTGCCCCTCTGGGCCCATCCAGAGCCAATTCCCTCTCACCTTTGAGGCCCTAAAGCAGGTGAGAGGCTGGCTGTAGTGGTGGACGCTGAGGAGACGCTCCTGTCTGCCTGACCCTGGCTCTGGGGCAGAGGAGCAGAGCTCACTTCAGGCTCCATTTCCCTTCCTGTGCCACTGCACTGTGTCCTGCAGGTCCATGGCTTTGTGGTGTACCACACACAGCTGCCCTGGGATGTCCCAGACCCAGCCACCCTGGGTGCTGCTCCCCACAGCATCTGTGACCGTGGCTATGTGATGCTGCAGAAGGTGAGGCTATGGGAGCACACCAGTCCCTGGGACAGGGCTCTAGAGGGCTGTGGGACCTGCTGGCAGTGGGGCTGTGCCATCCGAGGGTCTTGGGGACAGCCAGGGTGCCAAAAGCCATGCTGAGCCTTTGCAGGGTGGCTCTTGGGCCCAAATTTGCCTCCTCTGGGGGCAGAGAGCAGCCCTGGCTCTGGCGGGCTGGCAGCAGGATGCTGTGTGCCTGCAGGACTACCAGGGAACGCTGGAGCGGGACGGGGAGACAACACTGCATGTCACAGGCAGGGCAGGGGACACTCTGGACATACTCATGGAGAACATGGGCAGGATCAGCTTCGGGGCCAACACCAGTGACTTCAAGGTAAGGGGAGAGGGCCCTGAGGCTCCAGAGGGGATGGCCTGGCAACCCATAGGACCAAGCACTCTCTCTACTGCCACCTGAGACAGAGTCCAGCCTTGGAGGGGCTAATCCCAGTCCTACTCCCTGGTTCATCTCAAACCTGCCAGGACAGGGCTCAGAGACTAGCACCCCTCTCCCACTTATGCTGCCACAGCTGCCAGGGCCCTTCACTCCTTAGAGGGGATCCCATCCCACCTTCACTGCTGTCTGGGGGACATGCCCTGGGGTTGCCAGTGTCCTGGTAGATACTGCTGCTTTATTTCCCCTCCTGTTCCATCTCAGGGCTTGCTGGGAAACCTCTCATTGAACTCCAGGCCTCTCAGCAACTGGCTGATCTATCCCCTGGCCATAGACACTGCAGTCCAACAGGGCTGGCCCCACGCTGCTCTGCCAAAATCAAGCAGTGGGGGCCGAATGGGGCCAGCCTTCTACACTGGAACCTTTGAGACACCTGACAGTGCCTGGGACACCTTCGTGAAGTTCCCAGGTTGGAGCAAGGTAAGGCAGTGCATAACTGGGAAAGGGGATAAGAGTGGACCAGGACACAGCTCAGTCCCATCTCCGTCCTCTTCCAGGGACTGCTGTGGATAAATGGCTTCAACTTGGGCCGGTACTGGAGCTGCCGTGGGCCCCAGCAGACGCTCTTTGTGCCTGGCTCGGTGCTGCACGCTGGCCGCCCCAACAACATCACAGTGCTGGAGCTAGAAGGGGCACCTCCCGCTCCTCTCGTGCTCTTCCTTGACCGACCCCTTTACAACAGGACCCTTGGCTGCAGCACCACGGCCACAGAGTAAACACTGCTGGGCACTGGCCTTGCCTCTCACTGGGGCTGGGGAGATGGCAGGGGGCTGATGAAGCACAGGGGCTAAGGAAAGGGGCACAGCTCCTGGCACAGACCTCTGGAGACAGGCAGGGCCTCTGCTACTGGGTAAGGGACTCAGGACTGAGCTTGATTTGCATGTCAATGCCACACTCATCCCAAACAGTTCCAGTGACCATGCTGATTCCCCCATGGCCAGGGGGTCAAGGCACCTCTTTATTGACAATGTAGGCGGAGGAAGTAGTTGCTAACATGACGGCTGAGATGCTGATGGCAGCCAGGAGAGGAGAGGTAAAAGCACAGCCTTGATGGTGTCCACAGGCATGGCTGGAGGTAGCTCAGGGCTGCAGGGTCTGTATGTGTCAGGATCTGTCCTTACACCTACAATAGCAACCTATGAGGTAGCCATGAGAAAAGCTGGCAGCAGGACCCCTGGCTGAAGCCAGGCCACCAAACAGTCCCAGCCCCTCACACTAGCACATGGAGACCTCTCAGTTATTAACTTTGTCAGAGTTACCACCCAGAGTGATATTCATGCCCAGAGCCTTGCCAGAGCTGCCCTGGAGAGTGACGTGGCCAGCTCAGTCCCTCTGACCATCACTGCTGCACAGCCAGTGCTCAGCCATGTCCCACCACGGTGGTCCTTGGCAGGTGGCAGCAGTCTCCAGCGTTAGGTGCGGCCAGCCTGGGCCCGGCGGTGCGTTTGCAGGCAGGCCGTGGAACAGAAGGAGAAGTCGAGGTAGTGGAAAGGGATCCGTCCCAACAGGGACTCTCCACACTGCCAGCAGCGGCTGCAGGAAAGAGCAGAGCTGGCCCTGAGCAAAGGGGACACTTGCAAAAGGGTTAGAAGAGGAAAGGATTCCCTGCCTGGACTGTGACACAAGACAGCAGCAGCCTGAGGGAGCTGGGGCTCCTCTGCTCTCACAGGGCTGATGTGCTCACCCAGCGGCCTGGCCAGGACATACTCCCTGGGGGAGATGCTCTGTCAGAGTGTGATGTGAGGCACCTGGAGGCAGCATGAACATTTAGGGGCTTGGCCCTATAAAGGTTTTAAAGTCCCTGCCCGATAAGCATGGGGAGTGCTGGCTGCCAACAAACCTGGTGGAGTGGCAGAGGAAAGTAAACAGGGACATGGGAATGGCAAGTTGGCTTGCTGTAGAATTGACTGCAAGTGCACCAAGTCATCCTTAGCACAATATTTCAGGGGAGCAGGGCAAGAGAGGGAGGAAAACTTTTACACAAGCACTACCGGGAATTGAGTGGTCAGGAATAGCTTTTGGACTGGAAATGAGAACTGGAGCAAGAAAGGCAGGGAAGAGCTGTACTGACATGGGAGAATTTATCTTCAGAGCCATGCTGCTGGGATGGTTACCTGATGTTGGCAAGAGTCGTGCCGGTGTCCTGCAGCTGTGCAGCCAGCCTCCGCTCAGCAGCCAGTGCCCTCTGGGGAGCAGAGACAGCTCAGCCCCTGGGAGCTGCTGGGCCCAGAGCCCACCACATCAGCACTGCCCTGTCTGGGCTGGATCCCCTTCCCAATCCTCACCTTCTCCCTGTCAGACAGGGCTGCAAACCACTGCTTCTTTTCCTGCTCCTGCTCCCAGCGGTGCCGCTCCTCGCGCTGTGCTTGCTCCCGTTGCTTCCGCTGGGCTTTCTGTGCCCGCTTCTTCTCCAGCTTCTTGGCCTCCATCTCCTGTGTCAGGGGCCCAGGCACCTGAGGGCAGGCAGCATCTCCCACTGAGCCGGGGCAGTGCACAAGTGGGAAAGAAGAGCTTTGCTCTGGGGTTCCCCTCTGGGGCTCCAGTGCGGGCAGAGGGCAGGCACCCACCCTGGCACGGCTGTAGTCGTACTTGTCTGGATGGTCCACCATGAACTTGCGGAAGGCATTGCGGGTCCGTCTGTCAGCAGAGATGCAGTATGGGGTCCTCTCCTGCCTGTCCCTGTGAGACAAGGGAGACCAGCTCGCTCACACTGCCATCTTACTGTCTGCATCCCGCTGGGCTGTGAGCCCAGAGACCCCAGAGATGAGCAGTGTGTACTGCAGGCCACAGTATCACAGCCAAGGAGGGGAAAGTTCCTTTTTCCTATACCAGAATCTTCCGAGTCCTTGCCTCTCAAAGGCCCTGCATGGGGCTTTTGTCTCATCCTGGCCCTTGGAAATGCCTACCAATAAACCTGGGTGCACTTTGAGGCAGCGCCCACCTGCTGCCATGCCAGACCAGGCAGGCAGAGAGAAGGGTGGTTCAGCTCCTGGGCCTGCCATAAAAACCCCAGGCTGTCCCCGGATAACAGTGGCCAGTACTGGCTGTCCCTGGACAAGAGTGGTACCAGTTTCCTGTGGCTGTGGGGAGTGAATTGCTAGATTCCCACAACAGGGGTTGTGAACCACTGGGTGCCCTGCAGCCATACCTGAGGGCAGGGTCTGCCCCTGCCTCCAGCAGCAGACACACAGCCTCAGCCCTGCCAGCCTGTGCTGCCACATGAAGCAGGGTGCAGCCACGCTCGTCCACGGGCTGGTTCAGCAGGGAGCGGGCCATATCCAGAGATTCCCCATCCTCACTGTGCTCTGGCAGGCCCCCATTCTCTGGCACGCCCAGGAGGTGCCGCAGTGTCTGCACATCCCCTGTCTTGCAGGCAGTGAACAGAGCATCGCAGAGCTGGGTCTGAGGGTCTCCTGTGAGAGAAGAACAGGAGAGGAGTCCAATGGGCACACTGGGCTGAGCAGCACTCTGGTCTGCCTAGAGAACACACACAATGTATCAGCTTGCTAGCTGGATTTGGGCACTGCAGCATCTCCAGCACCCTCAGAGTCTGTGACCATGCGCTATGGCATTGCTAGGCACTGTTGTCAGCAGCCAAGTCTCCTCCTGAAGTAAGACCCACTCCAATCCCCCCACCACACCTGGCTTAGCCAGGTGTTGCCTGGCCCCCTTGGCTCCAAACACACAGCTCACTCAAAGGCACATGACTTCACTAAAGACTTCCCAGATGCAGCTGTTCTTGGCATCTGCAGGACAATGTGCTCTTCACCCCACTGAAAAGCCACCAGTAAATGGGGCAGGCATCCAGCCAACACAGCTCCCAACACCACTTACCTCCACTGCTCCAGGGAAGCAGCCCAGGCTCAGCCTCCCCCTGCAGCTCTGCCACTGGCTCCAAGCCAGGCTGCCCACCAGTCTCTTTAGTACAAGGCCCTGCACAGGCAACACGTGAGGAAGAGGGTCAGAGTCAGCCTGCATCCCAGCCATGGCCTTCCTACACTGACCCTGCCAGTTCTTCCCTCACCTTTCTCCACCTTCTTGTCCCTCTTCTTCTTCCTTTTGTGGTTTCGCTTGGGCATCACTTCGAACTCCCGGAGGTCCAAGGTCCCCAGTGTCACTTCCACAGTCTCCAGTTCTGCAGGGCTTTCTTCCTCCTCTTCCTCTTCCTCCTCTGGGGCTGAGGGGGGTGATAAGACTGGGGCTAAGCCTCCACACACAGAACTAATCACCTGGGGCTCTGAGCCAAGAACACCCTGTCTTTCTCTTGTCCAGCCGCACTCTGCAAATCTGGCCCATGCCATAACATCAGACCCCTCCTGCTTTCTCAAAGTCACGTCTCCCTCCATGGTTCAACTCACCAGCTGTGTCCTCCTGCGGGGGATCCACCTCTGCCTTCTGCTGCCTCTTCTGCCAGACCTTCCGGGGGGACCCAGTGATGTCCTCCAGTGGCGTGTCCTTCCCTGGGCAGCAAGGGTGCTCCCGTCATTGCCTGGGGACAGGGAGCACCCCATGTCTCCAGGGACTGAGGGCTGAAGAGCTAGCACCTCCACCCCACAGGGTAGCGTCCCCTAATGCACAAGGGACCACGTCACCCCACCTGCCCTGACCCACAGGCACAAGGGCTGGTGCAACTCAACCCACCATACACCTGCAGGCTGGCCAGCATGGCGTGGACTCGCAGCACCTCTCGCAGGGTGGGCCTGCGGGTGCTGAGGGGGATGTGGCAGATGCGAGGGTCCCCTCGGGTGAGGGGTGGGTTCCTGCCACCGAAGAGCAGCGCACGGTTGTGATGAGGGGCCCGGAGGAAGATGCGTTGAGCTTCCTTCAGGTGCTCTGCCCAGGCTGCCAGGAGGTCCTGAATATCCTGGGGAGAAAGGAGAAGCTTTATGGGATCCTGAGCACACTGTGAGGGCACAGGTAGCTCTGGAGCAGGGACAAATCCAGAAGAGAGTAGCCTCAGTTGGGCCCTGCCCCTTTTCCAGAGCCCACCGCCCCTGCCGTGCCCTCTGGCAGCAGTGTGGCACCACCTGTCAGAGCAGCCTGGAGAGGAGCACTCCCTGCCGGGAGCCCAGCGCTGCCTCCTCACCTGGAGCAGCGCAGCCTCGTTGTAGCGGCGCAGGGAGGCCCCAGCAGACCTGGGTGCTGCCCCCGGGGTCTGGGCATCCCGAAGGCCCTGGGCTGTGCCCCGCCGTGCTCGCACCGTGTACCGGTGGAAGGTCTTGTGCTCCTGCACCTGCAGGCTGCGGAGAGGGGCAGGCACGAGCAACAGAGCTTAGTGTGTGTGGCGTTAACATGCAAAAGCAGCTGCAGCTGACTGTGCCCAGAGGGACAGTCCCGCTGTCCCCCTGTACTCACCCCCGGAACACTGCTCCTGCGAAGTGCCCGCCACCCATCATCAGCACAACCCAGCACGTGCTTGCACCGAGGCTCTGCAGTGACGCTGTCAGCTCCACCGGCTCCTCAATGTCACCCTGCTACACAGACACCCTTGCTAGCACCCATGGCATTACCTCCTTACCTCCTGCTGTCCCCAGGACAGAGAGCAGCCTCTCTGCTAGCACCACAAGCAGGTTTCCGGGAGCACCCCAGAGCCAAATAACAGGCCACCAACAAATCTGGCGCTCTGACCTGGCACCAGAGTCCACCCTTCCTATCACAGGAGGGAGGAGACTGTCAAAGAGACATCTACACCCCAGTGCTACCCACCTTTTCTGGACTCCCTCTCACAAAAAGCTGGGCAGTGACTTGCCTTCCCAGGGAGCAGCACACAGCGGTAGGCAGAGATGAGCTGGCCCTTGGCATTGCGGAGCAGCACTTTGTGGGAGCGGGGAATCTGGGGGGTCTGGCGAGTGTCACTGACAGAGGGCAGCAACTCCGACTCACTGCTCACTTCAGAGCTATCTGAGTCAGATCCTGAGATGCTGGAAACATCACCTGCAAGGAAAAGAAAATATACAATGAAACAAAGCAAAGATTACTGAACAGCCTCCCCAAAACTCTCTAGGTGACTTCAAGGGCACTTGCAGAGTGCCCACGACCCCAGAAATGTTCTGTCAAATAACCCTATATATCACAAACAGGCTGTGACCCGGGGAGATAGCACTTTGTGGCTCTGATCCCCAGACATGCTTAGGCAGGGGCTCAGTTAAAGCCTACAACAAATCCTAACGGCTCAAGAGCAGTGCTGGATCCTGAGAAGACACCACAGGGACAGAATAAAGGAACCCTGCGCTAGCAGAGGGCTTCATCCCTGTACAGAACCCCAGTGAGGTTGCTGACAGCCCCTGGGCCCCAGTGCAGACAGTCCAACCCCTCACCTGTGCGGGTTTTCTCCTCAAACACTTCTTCAGGAAGTGTCCGGCGCCCCAGGAGTCGCTGCTTCAGGTTGAAGCGGTGCCAGTCAAGACGGTAGTGCTCAGTCTGTGGAGCAAAAAAGTATGAGCTGGCAGCACCTTGGTTGTCCGTGAAAGCCATCACCACCAAGGGCATGAGGTGACAGACCCCAAGGACTAAACTGATGCTGGGCTCCTTCAGTGGTCCTGACTGGAGAATCACAGTATATTAAGGAGTTACCCAGGAAATTAATCTGAACAAATACAGGCCTGTGCTGCACTTACCCTTTACTTCCAGTAAATGATACTGTTAACTGATAACATACGAGGCTTTCTCATGGGTTGTGAGCAGTGGGCAAACAGCCAGCACTGGGCTGCACCATGCTGGGGGCTGAGCTTCCACAGCAGGACCCCAGCAGTCATGCCAGCCCCACTCCCACTTCACACTGCTCAGCCCTGCTCACCTGCTCCTCCCGGCTCCCAAACACCTGCCCGCAGGTCAAGCAACACATTCTCTCTGGCACCTCGGCGACCCCATGGGCCTTCTCCTCACAGCTGGCTGCTGGGGCCGGGCCGCGCCGGTGGCGGCGGCGGCGCGGGGCCCCGCTATGGCCCACTTCGAGACGCAGTACCAGCGCCTGGAGAGCTCCTCCACCGAGTCTCCCCCCGGTGGCGGCGACCTGCTCGTCCACGTCCCCGAGGGCGCCAAGTGTGAGCGATGGCACCGGCACCGGGGGTTGGGGCCTGGCCGGCGGCGGGGTGCGGAAGAGGCCGGGGCGGCAGGGGAGAGGCTGGGCGCCACGGGGAGCCGGGGTGCCCGCTGCGGGGCTGGGCTGGGACCTGGGGTGCCGGGGGCAGCGGGGGAAGGGCTGCTTGTGCTGGTGACAAGAGCAAGGGTGGGTGTGCTGAGGACCCCTCACCCTGTGCTGCTTCTTCCTTCAGCTCCGTGGCATCACATCGAGAACCTCGACCTTTTCTTCTCTCGCATATCCTTTTGCAGGGCGAGGGTCAGGCGGGATGTATCCCCCTCCTCCCGGCTCTAAGTACAGGGAAAACATGGAGCTTTGTGTAGCTTGGAGCCTGGGCAGTGTCAGCCATCCCTGTAGGGCACTACACAGCTCCAGAGGGGCTGGCAGAACCCCCTGTACCTTGGGATGCTGTCACTTGACCCGGGGTCATACAGGTGCTTCTAGGAATTCTTGGGAAAGTGACGATGATACTGTTGGCATTGCAGTTAATGTGTTATATTCTTAACAGGATTTTAGTGCTGGTGTGGCATTTACAATCAGAGTAGTACAGGATTTCTGTAGGCAGAATAAGTAGTACAATTTTATAAGTAGCATAGAACACAGTTTTATAGTATCTCCTAGTTTGTGGTTTCTAATCAGCTGGACTCTTTACAGATCTGGACATATATTAATATATGATTTGCTGTATCAATATAATGATAATAATGAAGACTCAAAAATCACATAAAAGAATTGGAGTCATTCACTTAGTCCTCATTGGAAGCAGATGACAATGGGGGTATCCCTGGCTGCTGGGGGGTCCTGGGTCTCCCTGTCCACCAGCAGCTGTGATACCAGCTCCCACTTAGGATTTGTAACTCCTTGATTTTGTGGATAATGCTCCGGGTGCTGTTAATACTTCCCTCTTCTGTGATGGGGTCATCACCTCTGTTGGGCTGGCCAAGTGCCTGGGACCTTCAAGGACAGCACGGAAGAGAGTAATCAGCCCGGTGCCAAGGAATCTTGAGGCCCATGGGGAGGGAAAGCAGAAACCCGTTTGATTTATCTACTTGGTTCACAGGACCTTCAGCGCCTGATAACTGGGCAAAGGGTGACCCACTAATAGGTGACACCCTCGGTGACACAGAAGGGCTGCTTGCCTTATGAAATGGTGTCAGATATGCTGACCACATTGCTGGGGGCGGGAGTGGATGCCAGGTGCCACTAAATGCATTTTTGTCTGTCTCTGTCTTGTCCTGCCCTGTCCTAGCCACTTGTGCAGCCTGAGTGCAGGCTGAGTTTCTGCTCTGTGCTGAGCAGACCCCCACTATGGGTGTTGAGTGCAGGTAGAAAGGAGCATGAACAAAGCCAAGCCCCTCTACCCCAGCTGTGCTTTACCTGGGCAGAGTGTGTTTTCCTGCACTGGGGAACCAGCTTGCTGATGAGTAGGGGTGGGAGAGATTTTTTCTTGGTGGTGAAGGGAGACTTGGCTGAGGAGCTGCAGAAACGAGTGGGACAGAAGCCTCTTCATCCTTCATCAGAAAGGAGTCTGCTGTTTTCCTTGACTGCAGCTTTCACGTCTATAACCTGCATCAGAAGAATGGCTTCACTTGCATGCTCATTGGAGAGATCTTTGAGCTCATGTAAGTGCAGCTTCCCCCCTGTTGTGGCTGCTGGGGAACAGCCATAGGCACTTGCCAAGCACTTGCAGCTGTGTGGGTGGAAGGGCTCCTTTCGTAATTGCCCTGTCTCCCCTTCATCAGGGTTTTCCATGCCCCAGACCTGCATTTCACTTTGAGGAACCATTGCCTGTGAGCATTCCTGCTGCCATGGCTGTGGGATTGCATCTCCGTGGCACATGACCCTGGCTGCTTCACGTTTTGTGGTGGAGCAGAAGGGTGATTCCCTCACAACACTTCTCTTTTTTCACAGGCAGTTCATCTTTGTGGTGGCATTCACCACCTTTCTTATCAGCTGCGTTGATTATGACATCCTCTTTGCCAACAAAGCATTAAATCACAGCCAGCATCCCACTGAGCCTATTAAGGTGACTCTGCCAGATGCCTTCCTGCCTCCAAATGTCTGCAGTGCAAGGTAGGGGCAGTGGAGGGCATGTTAGCCACTGCTCTTGTTTTCCTAAATACTCAGGGCTCCTGTCTGGGCCTGTGTCCCACTACTTGCCTCTTCTTGCTTGCAGAATCCAGGCAAACAGCTTCCTCATCTGCATCCTGGTGATAGCTGGGGTTTTCTGGATCCACCGACTCGTCAAATTTATCTACAATATCTGCTGCTACTGGGAGATTCACTCTTTCTACATCAATGCCCTGAAGATCCCCATGGTAAGCTGCTGAGCAGGGGCTGCCTGCAGGGCTGCATGGGAGGGTCATGGGAGCCATTTGCTGGTGGTTGCAACTTGCCTTCATGCCTCTCCTCTTCTCAGTCAGACTGAGCACTCTTCCCTCTGCTCCATAACCACATGATCTCCTTTCAGCCTCTTCTCCAGCAGCCAGTTTATTCCGTGTTAACCTCTCTGTGCTCAGTCTGCCTCTCCGCCTGCTGGCGCGTGCCTCTGCCATATGCCACCCAATATGTGTATTCTTCAGCAGTGGCCTTTTCTGTGATGCCTTCCACAGAGAAAGCATAAGTGAGGGTATCCTCGTACATCCCTGGGATGTGAACAACCTCAGCTTCCTTGTTTACTTGGAAGGCTTGTAGCTACTTAGTTGTGAAGGTCACACAGCAGATCAGTGTGTCACAGATGGGGTTTGAGGCTTGCATATACATCCTAGTCCAGAGTCCTTGCTCTGATGAACAACATGAAAAGGCATGTGCACATCCTTTGGAGGGAGAAAGTATCTTGAGAAAGGTGGGGTGAGCTGAAAGGCTTGGATTGTGCCCAGTTTTTCCATGGGCTCCCTTTGGGACGCTGCTTAAGTCCCTTCCGTGTTTGTTTCTCCCTGCTGACTCCAAATGGCAGCTCTGGGAGGAACCGTGGAAGCCTGGATCTGTGTTTATGCCTCCAAGGAAGCTGGTGCATGCGTGGCTGGGAAACAGTCATCTGTGCTAATCTAGGGGGTAAAGGGCACCGAGGCAAGGTGTGGGGTTTGCCTGCTGCAGGCTGAAGTGGTGCCAGAAGGTGCCTCACGCCCTGGTGTTGCATGCACTTTGTCAGCACCCTGAGGTGTGTGCTGGGACCTGCTACTTCAATGGGCTTAGCCTGGCTTCTGTCCCTGGATACTTCTTGCTCCTAATCTTGCTGCTTGTCCACCTTCCAGTCCACCCTGCCCTACTACACCTGGCAGGAGGTGCAGGCCCGCATTGTGCAGATCCAGAAGGAGCACCAGATCTGCATCCACAAGAAGGAGCTGACAGAGCTGGACATCTATCACCGCATTCTCCGCTTCAAAAACTACATGGTGGCCATGGTGAACAAGTCACTGCTGCCCATCCGCTTCCGCCTGCCCCTGCTGGGAGACACCGTCTTCTACACGCGTGGGCTCAAGTACAACTTTGAGCTCATCTTCTTCTGGGGTCCCGGCTCCCTCTTTGAGAACGAGTGGAGCCTGAAGGCTGAGTACAAGCGGGCCGGGAACCGCCTGGAGCTGGCTGAGAAGCTCAGCACTCGCATCCTCTGGATCGGCATTGCTAACTTCCTCCTCTGC